ACTCTTACATATATCCAGTGAAGTGACTGGCTTCAGGTAATACACAGAAATTAAACAAATTCTCCTACATAAGTTGTACATGTTTATATGCAGTATTCTCTACATCCATTCAAAATGCAGAATTTATAAAGCTTGTCTGAGCTTTCAGAAAACGGGGCAGGGTGCTGAAATTCACTCTGCAGAGCTCCATCAGGGGAGCTCTAAAAGCTGATTGGTTTGGCCCTGCTATCTTCTCATAACCCTAGAACAGAGGAGGTGTTGCTTTACCTCACCTTTTGTCATACTTTCATGCAGCTTCACTGCTTCGGATAGTTGATTGGTACCATGGTAAATCCACTAAGCTTTTGACCCTCTTAGAAAATTACCTGATTTCCTCGGACCTCATGTTTTTACCATGGACAAATCTGGCCCACAGACCCCCTATTGATCTATTGCCGCTCATATCCTCTACCACATTATGGACATGGGATGAATACTAGCTCCAAATTCCTTTCCTGGCAAATAACTGATTCTTCACTTCTGTGCCACACACTCCGTAATGGAAACCTAATTCCTCTTTCCTGACTACTCTCCTCTTGTCATAATCCTTCGAGGGTATGGCTTGAACTTACTCAATTTACACTTTCTGGGTAGGATACCAGAAAGGGATGATTTGTCCAGGCCACTTACAGACTTTGAATCGTTGCTCTTCCAGTCCACCATATCGAAACATTCCCTATCCCAGATTTATCGAATCTTTCTAAAAGCCTCCTATCTAGCTCCCCCGCTATTCCTATCTAAATGGGAGCGGAAGCTGAATGACACATTCTGATCCGTCTGATCTGGCGATATGGATTGGGACAGAACACTGGCACTTTCCTTTAAACTGTCTAAATCATCCCCATGCCCAGGAACGTAATTGCCGCATTGTGTCTAGGTGATATCATTGCCCTACTATCCTGCATAGAATTTGACCCTACCATCCTGGATATGTGTTGGAGATGTTTACAGGTCCCTGGCACCATGATGCATATCTGGGGTACCTGTCAGTACATTATCTGTTATTGGGATAAAATACTACAATTTATATGACAAATTTGTTTGGGACAAATTCCCAAATGAACCTTGCATAACTATACTTTCTATGTTGCCAAGCTTCTATAGACAAATCAAGAAAAGCTTAATTCGACATTTTCTTACAGCAGCCTGCTCTGTTTCCGCTAGACATTGGTGCCAACCGTCTGTTTCCTCTTTGGCTGATTGGGCTTGTGAAATGTACCGGATAGAACACCTGGAACGTACGATAGCCTGGGAGTATAAGATTGAATCTCACAAACCTATGTGGACCGTCTGGTCACATTTCTGGTATTCCTCCAATTTTGAGGTCTTTTGTAACTGTTCCATTTGGGGCTTTTCAGGTTAGGTGGTATTTTACTTTCCCCTCCTCCCCTTTTTTTTTTTTTTTTTTCTCTCTCTTACACTTTGTTCCTGCCTCTCTCTATGGTCTTAACATTATTCACCGGTTTCTCATATACTGTAGATGGTGCTCTGGAATGTACTGCTTTACTTCCTATATGGGCGGTAGCGTCACTGTATGTTTACGCCATTTTCATTGTGATTTCTATCATTATATTAATAGCTGGCTATGGAGCTCACTTTTATCCATAGATGCTCTGCTAATCTTAACATATCTTGGTGACCTTTTCTTTATCATAACCTTGTGATGTGTCACATTACATTACTTTTGTCTATATGCATCCTTGTACATTTACTGGAAATAGACCTGTAGTGTTACGTTTTTGCTCTGTTTAAAAACTGAATAAAACCACTTCAACATAAAAAGCTGATTGGATGAAAAGGGGACACCCCCCCCCCCCCCCCCCCCCCCCCTCACACAGCACACAGGAACAGAGTTGAGGCTGTTAACCTGCTAGAGCTCCCTCCCATCACTATTTTTTTTTCTTGGTGTCAGGAAAACCTGTCAGATAGCAGAGGATTCGGGGTAGGCGGCAGAAATGGCACTTAGTGCCGGTTCACATATATGTATTTGTATATGTACACAGTATCATCTGACATTATTTCCTGATTCCTATGAAGTGGTCCCTTATGACCCAAGCTCTGGGGGAGTAAATGGATCAAACAACAAACGCATGAGCGCTCAGTGAATGCACTGACCCTCAGCCCACTCTTGGAAGGCGTGCTCTGTTATTTAGTTTTACTAGCTCCCCATTACAGGCATGACAGAATCTCTGGAGAATGTATTACTCTGCTTAGCTGGACCAAGGTGACGCAATGCAACATGGTTTGAAGAGAACTCTTACTTTCTTTTACTTTAATTTTACTAAAGACTTCATAACAGAACAGAGGATACACTGCATGCAGAGTAAATGGAGAATCTATTCCTAGGAACCCCCCACAAAAGTACTGCATTATATTTTTGAATTTAATAAATCAATGATTTAGCTGTTAGCAATTGATACTTGCCTTTTAAAATGTGTCACAGTCTCATTCTGACCCTATACTACAAGTATAGTTGCTGTTGTGATAAAGTGACCAGCCCTGTCATCCATTGTAGTAAGTGGCAACAACCAAATAAGGACACATTTCTGTGATGACAGCATTTATTCCAATGCTCTTATTTCACTACTTGAGAGAAATCCGTAATATATTGTCATCTTTTCAAGTAGAAAATTTGTAAAAGGGATCTGTTGCAAAGGTATGTTGGAGCCCCGCAACTGACCTGATACCTAAACTGATGTGTATAAGCACTTTTAGGTTGGTTGAGTGCAGATAAGGGCCAAGTAGTAATAGATCATATCACAAGTTTGCTTCAAGTAAAAATCAGACTATATGCTATCCTAATTCTTAGAAATGATTTGCTTTTTCATGTATGTCATACATATGCATTATTCTGCGCCAAAAAAAAAAAAACTTACATGATATAAACATTTCATGGTGTGACTGACACATAGAGAACAAACTGTTTTCTTTATGCCCTTGCGGAGAACTTTTCTATTGCATATTTCTGGGCATTAAAAACTCAGTTTTTATAGTTGGTCTGGTTGAAAAAAAGTGCAAAAAAAGAAAAAAAAACGCTTGTCCACGTTTAGTCCCACAGAAAAGAAACACACACAAATAGAAATCTCCTATATACACAATCCTATACCCACAGTTGCTCTACAGCAGTGGTTCTCAACCTTTCTAACGCCGCGACCCCTTAATACAGTTTCCTCATGGTTGTGGTGACCCCCACCATAAAATTATTTTCGTTGCTACTTCAGAACTGTAATTTTGCAGTGGGAGGACTAGTGCCACATCACTGATGTCCAGTGGGAGGTATAGTGCCCCATCATTGGTATCAGTGGGAGGACTAGCGCCCCATCATTGGTATCAGTGGGAGGAATAGTGTCCCATCGTTGGAATCATTGGGAGGAATAGTGTCCCGCCATTGGTGTCAGTGGGAGGAATAGTGCCCCTCATTGGTATCAGTGGAGGAATAGTGCCCATCATTGGTATCAGTGGGAGGAACTAGCGCCCCATCACTGAAGTCAGTGTGGAGGAATAGTGTCCCATCGTTGGTATCAGTGGGAGGAATAGTGCCCCATCGTTGGTGTCAGTGGGGAGGAATAGTGCCCCATCATTGGGGGATGGAATAGTGCCCCATCGTTGTGTCCAGTGGTGAAATTAAGGGAGGAATATGTGCCCCATCCATTGGTTGGTGTCAGTGGGAGGAATAGTGCCCCCCCATCATTGGTGTCAGTTGGTGGTTTGGAAAAGTATGCCTATCATTGTTGGTGCATCAGTTGGAATAGTCAGTTGGTGTCAGTGGGGAGGAATAGTGCCCCATCGTTGGTATCAGTGGGGAGGAATAGTGCGTTGGTGGTCAGGTGGGGAAATATGTCCCCATCATTGGCTGTCAGGGGAGGAATAGTGCCCCATCCATTGGTGTCAGTGGGGGGAAATAGTGCCCCATCGTTGGTGTCAGTGGGGGGAGGAATAGTGCCCCATCATTGGTGTCAGTGGGGGAGGAATAGTGCCCCATCATTGGTGTCAGTGGGGGGAGGAATAGTGCCCCATCATTGGTGTCATGGGGGGAGGAATAGTGCCCCATCGTTGGTGTCAGTGGGGGGAGGAATAGTGCCCCATCGTTGGTGTCAGTGTGGGAGGAATAGTGCCCCATCGTTGGTGTCAGTGGGGGGAGGAATAGTGCCCCATCGTTGGTGTCAGTGGGGGGAGGAATAGTGCCCCAATCGTTGGTGTCAGTGGGAGGAATAGTGCCCCATCGTTGGTGTCAGTGGGGGGAGGAATAGTGCCCCATCGTTGGTGTCAGTGGGGGGAGGAATAGTGCCCCATCGTTGGTGTCAGTGGGGGGTAGGAATAGTGCCCCATCGTTGGTGTCAGTGGGGGAGGAATAGTGCCCCATCGTTGGTGTCAGTGGGGGGAGGAATAGTGCCCCATCGTTGGTGTCAGTGGGAGGAATAGTGCCCCATCGTTGTGTCAGTGGGGGGAGGAATAGTGCCCCCCATCGTTGGTGTCAGTGGGGGGGTCAGGAATAGTGCCCCATCGTTGGTTGTCAGTGGGGGGAGGAATAGTGCCCCATCGTTGGTGTGTCAGTGGGGGGAGGAATAGTGCCCCCATCGTTGGTGTCAGTGGGGGGAGGAATAGTGGCCCCATCCTTGGTGTCAGTGGGGGGAGGAATAGTGCCCCATCGTTGGTGTCAGTGGGGGAGAATAGTGCCCCATCGTTGGTGTCAGTGGGGGGAGGAATAGTCGTTGGTGTCCATGGGGGAGGAATAGTGCCAATCGTTGGTGTCAGTGGGGAGGAATAGTGCCCCCATCGTTGGTGTCAGTGGGGGGAGGAATAGTGCCCCATCGTTGGTGTCAGTGGGGGAGGAATAGTGCCCCATCGTTGTGTCAGTGGGAGTGATGGGGAGAGGAATAGTGCCCCATCATTGGTGTCAGTGGGGGGAGGAATAGTGCCCCATCGTTGGTGTCAGTGGGGAGGAATAGTGCCCCATCATTGGTGTCAGTGGGAGGAATAGTGCCCCATCGTTGGTGTCAGTGGGGGGAGGAATAGTGCCCCATCGTTGGTTCAGTGTCAGTGGGGGGAGGAATAGTGCCCCATCGTTGGTGTCAGTGGGGGGAGGAATAGTGCCCCATCTTGGTGTCAGTGGGGAGGAATAGTGCCCCATCATTTGGTGTCAGTGGGGGAGGAGAATAGTGCCCCATCGTTGGTGTCAGTGGGGGGAGGAATAGTGCCCCCATCGTTGGTGTCAGTGGGGGGAGGAATAGTGCCCGTTTGGTGTCAGTGGGGGAGGAATAGTGCCCCATTGGTGTCAGTGGGGGAGGAATAGTGCCCCCATCATTGGTGTCAGTGGGGGGAGAATAGTGCCCCATCATTGGTGTCAGTGGGAGGAATAGTGCCCCATCGTTGGTGTCAGTGGGAGGAATAGTGCCCCATCGTTGGTGTCAGTGGAGGAATAGTGCCCCATCGTTGGTGTCAGTGGGGGGAGGAATAGTGCCCCATCATTGGTGTCAGTGGGAGGAATAGTGCCCCATCGTTGGTGTCAGTGGGAGGAATAGTGCCCCATCGTTGGTGTCAGTGGGAGGATAGTGCCCCCATCGTGGGTCAGTGGGAGGAATAGTGCCCATCATTGGGTGTCAGTGGGGGAGAATAGTGCCCCATCATTGGTGTCAGTGGTGTCTGTGGGAGGAATAGTGCCCCATCATTGTGTTCATGGGAGGAATAGTGCCCCATCGTTGGGTGTCAGTGGGAAATAGTGAGCCCCGTCATTGGTGTCAGTGGGGGGAGGAATAGTGCCCCATCTTGGTGTCAGTGGGGGGAGGCAATAGTGCCCCCATCGTTGGTGTCATGGGGGAGGAATATGCCCCACATCGTTGGTGTGTCAGTGGGGGGAGAATAGTGCCCCATCGTTGGTGTCAGTGGGGGAGGAATAGTGCCCCATCGTTGGTGTCAGTGGGGGGGGAATAGTGCCCCATCATTGGTGTCAGTGGGGGGAGGAATAGTGCCCCATCGTTGGTGTCAGTGGGGGGAGGAATAGTGCCCCATCGTTGGTGTCCTGGGGGAGGAATAGTGCCCATCGTTGGTGTCAGTGGGAGGAATAGTGCCCCATCGTTTGTGTCAGTGGAGGGCAGGAATAGTGCCCCACATCGTTGGTGTCAGTTGGGGGAGGAATAGTGCCCCATCGTGGTGTCAGTGGGGGAATAGTGCCCCATCGTTGGTGTCAGTGGGGGGGAGGAATAGTGCCCCATTGGTGGTGTCATGTGGGCAGGAATAGTTGCCCCTTGCGTTGGTGTCAGGTCTTTCGGAATATGCCCTCATCGTTGGTGCAAGGAGAGGTATAGTTGCCCCTATCGTTGGTGTCATGTGGGATGGAATAGTGCCCCATTGTATTGGTTATTTTTAGGGAAGAATATGCTATAATATACGGTGTCTAGTGAAGTGGGGAATAGTCCCAGCACCATGGTGCCAGTTGGGAATAGAATTATTATGTTCGTTGGTGTCAGTGAGGAATAGGCCTCCATACGTTGCGTGGTCCATGGGAGGGGAGGCCATACATTGGAATGATACTATCCATGAGTCCATTCCTACGTTTACATTTCCTGATTGAGGTGACTATGGGTCACGCCAAACCCCATCACCTCCCCCCAAACCCCACCCCCCACCCCCCCCTCCCCCCCACTCAAACCTCCCCCCCCCCACCCCCCCCCCACGCCCCCCCCACACCATCCCCACAAACCTCCCCCCCCTCCCTAAGGTACACACCCCCCCCTCCCCCCCCATACCCCCCCCACCCACCCCCCCATCTAACCCCCACCCCCAAAACCCCCCCCCCACATAACCCCCCACCCCCCCCCCCACATCACCATTGCCCACCCCCCCCACACAACATTACCCCCCCAACACCACCAAAAGTCCCTCATGCCCCAAACCCACCCCCCCCAAACCACCCAACCCCCACCCCCCCCCCCCTCCCCCCCACCCCACCCCCCTCCACCACCCCTACACCCCCCCCCCCCCCCACCCCCAAAATATCCCCCCCCCAAAACCACACCCCCCACCCCCCCCCCAAAACAAATCAACCCCCCCTCCCCCAATCAACCCCCCCCCCCCTTATAAATCATAATAAACACCCAAACCCTCACCCATATAAACCCAACCCCACCTCACCAACCCCTACCCCCACCCCAACCACCCACCCCCCCCACCCCCCCCACCCCCAAAAAAAAAAAAAAAAAATGGTTCTTTGCAAAAAAAAACAACAAAATCCATAAAAAAGACAATAAAAAAAACCCAGAAAACACTAAAATAAAAGCCAAAAAAAAAAAAAAAAAAAAACAAAAAAACAAAAAATAAAAAGCATAAAAAAAATAAAAAACAAAGATCAAAAAAAAAAATAAAGATAAAATAAAATTTAAAGGACTAGAAAAATAAAAAAGAAAAACCCCCCCCCCCCCGCTACAAAAAAAAGTTAAAAAAAAATAATAAAAAAAAATAAAAAAAAACTAATAAACTAAAAAATAAACAAAAAAAATTTTCAGAATAAAAAAAACATAAAAACCAAAAAAAGAAAAACCAAAATAAAAAAAAAAAAAAATAAAAAGAAAATAAAGAAAAAAAAAAATAGAAAAATGATTAAAAAATTTTAATTGAAAAAAAAACAAATAAAAAAAAAAAAAATTAAAAAAAGAAACATGTGGACTCCAATAATTTAATTAAGAATGAAAAAAAAAAAAATTAAAATAGTAAAAATAATACAAAATATAAAAAGATTAGTAGTAAAAAAAAAAAAAAAAAAGTTTTTTAACTAAATATGATGAAAAAAAATATAATTAAGTTGTTCAAAATTTTGGTTTGTAATAATTTTAAAAAAAATAAAAAAAATAATAAAAAAATATTTTGTTAAAAATATTGTTTTTGTGATCTGGGAATGTTTGTAAAAAAATAAATTGGAAAAACTAAAATTAAATAAAAAAAAAAAAAAAAAATATGAAAAGAATAAATGAATAAAAAAGAATAAAAAAAATAAATAAAAAATAAAGTAATAAAATAAAAAAAAAAGAAAAAAAATAATAATTAAATAACATCAATAAAAAATAAATATGAGAAGAAAAAATGATATAAAAAAAATAATTAAAAAAAATCAATTAAAACTGAAAAACTTAATAATTTAAATAACTAAATAAAAGATTATAGACAAAAAAAAAAATTGGAAAAAAAAAAAAAAGAAGCAAAAAAAAAAAAAAAAAAAAAAAAAAAAATAAAAAGGAAAAAAAAGATAATGAAAAAAAGAGTAAAAAAAAAAATTGAAAAAAAAAAAAAATAAAATAAATTATAAAAAAAAAAAAAAAAAAAAAAAAAAAAAGACGGGGGGTAAATAATAAAAAAAAAAAAAAAAAAAAAAAACAAAAAAAAAAAAACTTCAATAAAAAAAAAAAAAATAAAAAACAAAGATAAAAAAAAAAAATAAACAAATCAAAAAAAAAAACAAAAACAAAACACGTGTAAAGTAATAAAAAAAGACAAAAAAAAAAAAAAAAAAAAAAAAAAATAAAATTAAGAAATGAAAAAAAAAGAAAAAAAAAAAAAAAAAGACAAAAAACGCAGAAAAAAAAAAAATAAAAAAAGAAAGTCTGAAATAAAAAATAATGTTCATGTAAAAAATGCTGCAACTTCATATAAAACTAAAAAAAAAAAACCATTACTAAAACAAAAAAAAAGGTAATTGATAAAAAGATGGCGGGGGGGGGGGTGCAAAAAGAATTTAAATAAGTTCAAAAAAAAAAGTAATATGATTAAAACTATTCCTTCAAACTGACAAAAATAAAAAACTAAGAAGATAAAAAAAAAAAAAAAAAAAAATAATAAAAAGAACCCACTTATAAAACCCCCTAAAAATGGTTTGGTTTCTTTAAAATTAGACAAAAAAAACCCACTGAAAAAAATGAAATTTTGGAAAAAAAAAAAAAAAAAAAAAAACAAAATGAACCACTATAAAAAAATGTATAAAATAAAAGTGAAAAAAAAACTATTGGGTTTAAGAAAAATAAAATAAAAATAAAAAAAATGAAAAACAAACTAAACCAAAAAAAAAAAAAAAAAAATAAATACAAAATGGGGCACTATAAAAAAAAAACAAAAAAAAATGAAAAATAAAGTAAAAAATTTAAAATAAAAAATAACAATCGTAAAAAAATATAAAACATAATAAAAAAAAAAATAAAAACAAAAAATAAATTAAATAATGATATAAAAAAATTCCTCCCATAAAATAAAAAAAAAAAAATATGGGCAAAATTCCTCCCAAAAATACAGTACCCTGGAAAAAAAAATAAAACTATATAAAAAAAATAACCCAAACACTAAATTTAAAATAAAAAAAATAAAAAACATCTAAAATAAAAGAAATAAAAGAAAAAATATACAAAAAAAAAAAAAAAATAAAAAGAAAAAAATAAACTTAAAAAATACTGGATAAAAAAAAAACAAAAAAAACAAGCATCAAAATATTAAAAAAAAAAAAAAAAAAAGGAGATAATAAAAGTCTAAAAAAAAAAAAATAATCTAATCTCCCGTAAAAGCAAAAAAAAAAAAGAAAAAACGTACCTAAAATAAAAAAAAAAAACAATGACTGAAAAAAAAAAATTCAAAAAAAAAAAAAAAAAAAAAAAAAATAAAAAAAAAAGCAAAATTATAATAAAAAAAAAAATTAAACTAATAAAAATTCCAATAATAAACAAAAATAAACAAATAAGAAAAAAAAACCTCAGAAAAAAATAAACCATAAAAAAAATGGGAATAAAAAAAAAAAAAAAAAAAACAAAAAAAAAATGACAGATAAAAACATATATTCTAAAACCAATATGGCTAGAAAAAAAAAAAAAAAATAAATAACTCCATGTAAAAGAAAAAAAACTAAAATAAGGATTATAAAACTCAGGTTGCCAAAATTCTTAAAAAAAGGTTTATTGAAAAAAACAAGAAAAATAAAAAAAAAAATAAAAAAAAAAAAAAAAAAAGATTGCAAAAGAACGAACCTCCTGACTTCCAAAAACAAAGTCAAATCAAAGAAAAAAAAAAAAAATTACCAAAATACTCGAAAAATAAAAAGTAAAAAATATCATTATTAAAAAAAAAAAAAACAATAAAAAAATTAAAGAAAAACAAAATAAAAAAAAACTCTAAAAACTTATCCGGAAATTAAAAAAAGGATAGCGCCAAAAATTAATAAAAAAATGCTGGCCCCTAATTAAAAACCCCCCTAAACCCTTGAAAAATTTAAAAAAAAATAACAAAATTCTTCCAACAAAAAATAAGAAAAAAAAATGTACCTTTTAAAAAATAGTCATAAAAACCTATAAAAAAAAATACCTTGAATTGACTGGTAAAAATTATGAAAAAAACAAAATAAGACTATCAAAAAAATATAGCTCCCAAAAATTAATAAAAAAAATAAAAAAAAAACATGTGGTAAGCAATATGTGGAAGAAAAAACAAAAAACTAATAGATAGGGTTGCGTGAAAAATATCAAAAATTAAAACAAAAAAAAAAGGAAAAACATTCTGTTTCCATTTAAAAAAAAATCAAAATAAAAACATCAAAACAGGAATAAATAAAATTGAAATTTACAGGTATTGAAATAAATAAATAAAAATTGGAAAGGTACGCACAAAAAAAGCTGTTCAAATGTTAGAAAAACGAAAAATAAAAAAAAAATAAACAAAAAAAAAAAAAAACATGGCTTTGAAAAAAGAGCTAGATATCAGTTGCAAATATAAATACCAAACTAAATATAAAAATCCTGGATAAAAATAGTATTAAGAGTTTTAAAATTTATAATATAATTTAAAAAAAAATTGGAATATGAAAAAGTTTTCATACTACGGGGCCTTTTCTACTTGAAATTCGTTTAATATCAGATTTTTATGGAAGTATTGTTTTAAAAAGTATATCACTTTTTTATACCCATATTTTGTAACAATAATTATATTATAGATTGTATGTTTGTTCTTAAC